GGTGGTTGTGTGCAGATGAGCATCAAGAAGCTGGCTGAGGTGTTTGCGCCAGCCTTCTTCCGGCCTGCAGACATGACGCCTGAGGCCTCCGACGTCATACAGGTCCGTACGCAGACAGTCGGTGAGACACACACAAGACCGGCTAAGCTGGCGTGTCTCTCTCTACGTGTGTATGTGTCCATCCATCCCATCTATTGATTGCAATGGCATGCAGGTGGCTAACGAGGCCATGGCCGTCCTCTTGGCCGACCAGAGAAGCCTACTGGTACGCTGGCACCGCACTGACAGCATATGTCACGCGCCAACCCCCAACACACGACTGGCTCGAGCTCACGCTGCTCATCCATCCATCCATCGATCCATCCATCCATCTGTGTATACGTACGAATGCATTGTTCAGGCCGATGTGGAGATCAGCATGCGGAGTGGCGAGGGGAGAGAGACTGCTGAGGGTGAGAGGCGGCACAGGTCGCGGGCGAAGGAGAGGAAGAGGGAGACATCGGCTGACGCACGACGGACGAGAGACAGCGAGGCCGGTGTGATCAATGTGGGAGACACCACTGGTGACGCGTGACTGTCCGTCTGTCTGTCTGCCAGCTGTCTGCTGTGTCTTCCACGTTTGTCTGCTTGTATCTCTGTGTGTGGGAGAGGTCTGTCGTGATGAATAATATAACGGATTTGTTGAAACCAAATGGAAACGACACGAAGACACAGCTCACAGTCACCTGTGGCTAAGTGCAGAGCTGATCTCTCCCCATCTCCCCCCCCTCTTTCTCTGTGTGTGTGTGTGCAGAGGGATGTGTCGGCGGTCAGCGTCAAGACTGAGTACATCGAGACCGTCCTAAGCCACATCGACGCCTTCCGCAGACAACTGGTCGACTATGCGAGAGACCTCAGGAGCCTCATCAGCACGGGCGACTCGCTCGCCGAGTTCGCCGACATGACCGCCGCCCAGATGCGGCAGATCGAGGAGGAGCTCTCGCGTGTGCGCTTTCCCCCTGCTGTAGAGGAGAGAGTGGCCCGACACCGGCGGCCGCTACGCGACTCCTCGGTGAGCGAGAGAGTGGAGGGTGGGGTGGTGACGCTGGCGGATGGGAAACGAGTGACAGAGGCTGACCTGGCGCTGAGCGTACACGGGCTCATCTGACCTCATCTAGCTGTGATCGTCTGATGGTATTTTTATCCATCTGTATGGTTCGTGTGTTCACTGTCCTGCCGTGTCGTTTGTCGTCTGGTCTGGCTGGTGATGTTTATTCATCGTCGCCACTTGTCTGTGTGGGTGCGGTGTCATACAATGAGCGACTGGCGCGCGAGACGGCTTATGTGTTCGTGAAGCCAAGCAAATGAAAGACACGACTTGACGTGAATCGATCACGAACACAGCAACGTAGTCGGGTCGCCATTGTCTGTATGCACTTGAAAAACAGCAAAACTCGCAAACAGAACCGTCCTTGAGCTGCAGCAAAACGGAGTCAAACATGCAGCCACCACCCTTACTGCCGTCTCCCTCCTCCTCTCCCCCTCTCCAACTCATTCGACGCCCAGCGGCACAAACAGCCCGGTCCTCGACAGATGCCCCAGCTGGCCCCACTCGAACTGGCAGTCCTGATCGCCCAGATGCTCGTTGAAGCCCTTGACCACACCCACCACACCATGGGTGCCGGCTTCGTCCAGCCGGGCCCGGTGCACCACCTCACGCACACCCGTCAGCACCACCTGCCCCCCACTGCCACGGACGGCGAAGCACTGCAGCGGCACACGCACCGTCACGCCGCCCAAATTGGCCATCCCGCCGATGACCTCCCTGTTGCTGCTCGTCTGTGTGGCCGCCAACTTGACGAAGTGGCCGACAGCCGCCTTGACGCGGCGCCTCAGCACCGACTCGCCAATGAAGCACTCGTCGATGGCGGCGACAGCAGCGGGGGGCTCGTGCAGGAAGGCGCCGATCTTCCATGCGATGGCCTCAGCCTCGTGTGGGCCGAATGCCATGTTGGATGGGGAGGGGTGGGGGTGGGCGCCGTCATGGTGGGGGGCGAGGGGCAGCAGACGGGCGAGAAGCATCGAGTGGTCGCGCTGGGGGGCGAGGGCCCCGTTGATGGCCGACATGACGACCTCGGACAGCTCACTCAGCACTGTGGCATACTCGGCCAGCACCAGCTGACGCTCACGGTGCCGCTTCTGGGTGGCGGTGGGCATGCGGGCGATGGATGGGGCCGCCCCGCCCCGCAGCAGCACACCGATGGTGGTCTTGTCTTCGCGGATCCGTCTTGAGCGATACTCGTGCCACTCTCCCTGTTGCTGTTCCTGTAGTTGCTGGATGTGGCGATCGAGCTCTTCGGCAGCGATGGCGAGTGGTGTCATGTTGGGCTCGTTCGGCCACCCTCTATTGATGTCGTCGGCTGTGAGCTTGCGGCACAGCCAATGGGCCACACGGGGGGAGCCATACAATGCTGCCGCCTGCAGTGGCGATTGGCCGATGGCGTTCGCTGCCATCATTTCGACTCCGTGGCTGGTGATGAGGGTGAGGTACTGGTCGATGAAGGACTGGGAGAAGAGGCCAGTAGAGCTCCTGACTGCCCAATGGACCAGACTGTCTCCAGCGAACCACTCCGCTGCGAGTGTGCTGTCGTGTTGGGCAAGTCGGCGGTACACCGAAATGAGAGTGTCCTCGTACTCACGAGTAACGGAGCAGGCTGCGTAGAGGTAGGGAAGCCCCATCGCCCTAACTCCACGCACGTTGGCCTGTCGCTCCAGCAGGGCCTCCACTGCCGTCAGGTTGCCCGCACGAACCGCCACCGTGATGGGCCGCCGCTCCAACCCGCCGCCATTCATTTCCGCCCCGCCGTCGACGAGTGCATTAATGACGTCACGCTGCAGCTCACGGGAGGACCACTGTGGCAGGGCGACGGGCACCGCTAGAACAGACCTGTCGCTCGCACGGAGGAATGGATAGTTTGTTGGGCTGTCGATGGCGAAACACAGGCAGCTGTATCGCCAGCGCGAGAAAGGGGCTCCTGAGGTGCCGCGGCCGTGCAGGCTGCCGATGGCTCTCGGGTCGGCTCCTTGACGTATGAGCTGTGTGACTTGGCTGACGTGAGTGAAGCTGCGGCGGATGCAGCCCTCCAACAGCTGCCGAGTGACAGCACTGACGCCCTCATCAGGGACGATGTCGACGTCGTCCACCCCCTTGCAGCCGGGCGGCACAGCAGGAGGTGCTTGTGATGCGGCAGACGATGAGTGGGCCATCACAATGAGTCACACACACCTGCATGCGCACAGACACAGACTCACACAGTACCCTTGCAAATCCCTCCTCCTTCCAGCATTGCTAACGCACCTGGTCAGTCAGTCGGCGGCCGCAACAACACAGCCATCGACGACACCTGCACAGAGAGAAATACAGAGATGCCACGCCCTGCCAGTGGCGCTTTGCTTTTCCATCACAGGTCAGTTCATTTGCTCATTTATGCCTCAGACGTACCATCACAGTGAATCAGACCCCCACAATGACCAACACGCTCGGCATCTTCACTGAAAATCATCACCGAGGGGCTCAACCTCACGGAGGTCGCAAAAGATAGCAAAACCCTAGACCCCACAAAACCCTAGCCACTCGGAGGTTGCCGTAGTTCTCCGGCTGCTTTTTGGCGTTTGAAGCCAGCGGGAGCATTCATTCATAGTGGAAACCGGGCATTCCGATCCCATCCGAGCGCACCGCCCTCACTCCTGCTCATTCCTGGTGAGTGACCGCATCGACGCGCTCCCACATCAGCCGTGTGCATGAAGCACGCCGCCGACGCTCACGCGTGGCCATCTCCCGCCACCCACTGTCCCTCCCTGACCGTCTCCTGCCATGTCTTTCTGTGTCCTGTGTTGTGTGACCGCATCAATCAGGTCTGACAGGGAGCTGTCTGTCTGTCCGAGCAGAGGAGTAGAGTAGGATGGAGGATTTTGACTATGCCAACCTGAGTCTCCCCAGCGGCCTGACGCAGAACCCCACCAGCCAGCTGGACGTCAACGCCGCCGACATCTTCACACAGCAGCAGGAGTTCCACTACCCGGACTTCACAAACCTCTCCCAACTCGAGCAACCCCAGTCGCAGCGCCCGCAGGACGGACTCCCTGACGCCATCGCTGCGGGCCAAGTGGGTGGTGTGGGCTCAGCTGATGCCATAGTCCCCAATGGGGTGCCAGCTGCACCTGGTGTGCCGCAGCCGAGTGAACCGGGGCCGCAGAAGGCTGCCAGTGGCGCTGCTGGTGGTGGTGGTGGTGGTGGTGCGACCAACGGTACGGCGCCAGCAGCTGTGGCTGAGGCGCTGATCGACGAAGAGGAGCAGGAGTATGACTTCAACAACCTCCCAGAACACGCCTGCAGGTAAAGAGTGAGTGGGGGGGTCAGTCGTGTGGGTGAGAGGAGGTGGAGGGAGAGGGAGAGAGTGCCTCTCCCACGTGTGCAGTGAGTGCATTCATTGTGTGTGTTGTGTCTGTGTGTCTGTCTGTGTGTCTGTCAGGTACTGCGGCATCCACCATCCGGCGTGTGTGGTGCGTTGCAACAGGACCCACAAGTGGTTCTGCAACTTCAAGGGCACCACGACGGGCAGCCACATCGTCCACCACATCATCCGGTCCAAGTACAAGGAGGTGTCGCTGCACTCCCAGAGCCCCCTGGGCGAGACCACACTCGAGTGCTACAACTGCGGCTGCCGCAACGTCTGCATTCTGGGCTTCATCCCGGCCAAGACAGAGTCTGTCGTCGTGCTCCTCTGCAGGTGAAGTGGGTGGTGTGAGGCGTGTGTGTGTGCGTGTGGGG